CCCCTCATTCTGCTACTTAGAGCCTCTGGAATTCTCCTTGTTTCGAGTATGGGTCCTCTGCTTTCAGTAGTACGGGCTAACATTACCTGCCACAACTACCCATACTTTTCACACAGATCGTCCCAGATTTCTTAAGTAGCTACTCAACCTTCTCGATCACCAATCCCATTACACATGTTCGCTCTCCAGTGAATACTCACCTCTAACGGCGTACCCATCATACTAAAATAACTACCTAGGCTCTTCCTAGGTTCTTACCTTTCTCTGCCATCAACTGCTGAAGAAATCCTCATGATGCCAACCATCTACCTCCTGAATATTGTGATATTCACTTAGTAGCTAGCTCCCATCATTCAAGAGTTCCACAAAGCACAAAGCAAGCAGCATTCAGGCATAGAATAACCTCCACCAGCACATAAAACCACTCTAGCATACACCTCCACTTTCTCTATCCACAACTCAAAAGGCATCACCGAACTCAGGCAATCCTACCTCTCATGTGTATCTAACTACTCTGTCGGTAGATTCCTCAAATGCACATCTAGGTATCTCTCCTAGATTACTTTGATACTCAAAGCTCTCTCTAAAGGATTCCTGCTAGGTATTCCTACTCAGCACATACATAGAGCAAATAGCAGATAATATCAATCAATAGCATCCCTTCGGCAAAGGCATCATGAATCAGACAACTCTAGCTCTAATTTCCTGAAATACCTAGCCTATCCTCTAACATGCAACTCTAATATCTCATAATATAATCAAGTAATGGTATTTTAGGAAATCATAGTTCGGGATCTGGATGATTGTATATGATTTTACGTCTCGTTTTCTCTTTAAAACTCTTACTCGTTTTTTTGAAAAATCATTTCTTATTATAAAATTTTCTCAAGTCCTCAGTTTGAGTCTAGACATACCCAAGAGTACATCCAAATCGCTCAAACCAAGGCTCTGATACTAACTAGTAACACCGTAAATTTTCAAACAAAATTTTCACTTTCAAAATCACATAAAATCCAATATCATATTTCTCAAAAACCACAAATGTATAATTTGTCAAAACAAAAGTCAACAGTTGTTTGATAATATCCTAGAATCCTCAAAACATAAACTCCAACTCGAGTGCACAATCAAGCCAACGCCTTCTCGCGATCCTGAGAAGTACCTGAAACACATACGACACAACATGGTAAGCATGAAGCTTAGTGAGTTCCCGGAAATACCACATATATCTCATTAGCCTCACATGGCTATATCTCGATAATGACCCTCCGGTCAATGTGTCTCAGTTGAGACCCTTAGGTCCCACAACTCAGGTTGGACCCTCCGGTCCTAACTCAATGAAGCTCAGAATACAACATAAATCACAAAGACATAATGCAAGATATCACAATACTCAATAATAGCATACAAGACCCTCCGGTCACACAAAGTTACCACTCATGGTAACTATAGTGAGAAGACTCACCACAGAAGTAAGCAAGTATATCTAGTACTCCACGAACAGTCTAGACTCCGCCTACACAATATAATTATCTCTAATAAGCAAATAAAATAACCATTCCGAAATGCTAAGCTAACTCCTCAACTAAATCCCAAAAGGGGAAAAAGACCATTTTACCCCTCTATGGTCTCCAAGGTCCACTGTTGACCAAACCCTAAAAGTCAACGAAAGTCAACGCTCAAGTCAACAGTCCATGTTGACTAAACTCGTTGATTGCATCTATGTGACTCATCGAGTTCCTTCACTTTCTTTGAAATATCGGGAAAATCCAGCTCAACTCGCCGAGTTGTCTCGTCAACTCACCGAGTTGTAGCTCATCCAGACTATCGGGTATAACCCTTGCTGACTCGTCGAGTTGGCTCATGTACTCATCGAGTCCCTCTTGGCCAATTCTCATTCAGTCGATTCTAAGCATAAACAATGTCCTAAACTCTAGATCTAGCCTCCCAAGGCTGAGATACCACATAAAGTTGCAAGCTTTACCTTCATGCATGACATTTATGGCTCAAAATCCCAAAACAATACTCTATAGAAAGTTTAGCGCACAGAAGCTTGCCAATAACTTGATAAATCTTGGATCTTTGAGCTCTTGGGACCTTATATTGTTCAGATCTGGAGTCTCAACTCCATGGCAAGCGTAAGCAACTCAAAAGAAATAGATGGATGGGAAACGCCATAAAACTCCCTAGAAAGAGATCTAACAAAAGAAATGATCAAGGTGGTGACTTTTTACCTTCAAACAGAAGCTAAGGATGAATGAACATTGGATCCAAAAGCTCCCTCTAGTCCCAAGCCTTTTGCTCCTCAACCTATTCCCAAAAGTGCACCAAAGTATGAAGTGTTAGCCTCTCTTTCTCGTACATAAGGATATAGCTCGATTAGGGTTTCTCACAGAGTGTTAGGGTGATAAGGGAGGCGGAAATGAAGGTTTAAGATCCTTTAAATAGGAAACAAACCCTGAAAATTAGGGTTTTCTTACTCAGCACCTACTCGGCGAGTCGGGGTCCTCCGATTCGTCGAGTAGAATCTAAAATCATGCGGCTATCTCAAACTCTACTTGACGAGTTGTGTCCTCTAACTCGTCGATTTTCCCCTTTCAAAATGAATATAAAAATAATTAGATAGTATACTTGGGACTGGGGATGTTACATATCGTTTTATGATGCAACGACTAGACTCATGTCTCTTTGAGTCCAATCCTCACACGAATGATACATTCCTTCATGTTCTAATGTGATATAATTACATTCTAGCATGTGGCACTTCTAGCTACATGCTGCTTAATCCTAACGGTGACTGCGATACTTCTATCGTTCGCTTCGATTAACTTTTCCTTCAATCAAAAGTCGGACGCTACGTCGAACTTACCTTGTAGATTAGTCAAAATTGATTCGTTTTGACTACTAGGGTCAGAAAAGAAATCATCACTAAAACAAATTTAATGATGAAAATGAACAAGAATGAATACACTCACTAGTGCCTTAGTAGCCTTGTAACTCTCCTGATCCAAGTATAAGTCATGTGGTTCCAGTAGTACATACCCATACTACCTTCCACACTTACTCATAGTCGTCTCGGCAAGATAACTTTCTTATTAATCACTATTCGACTTCCAATGAAGCGTTGTGGTGGGGTAATCACTAGTCAAATAGCATCGATTACGAGGGCCCATGGTAATACATTACAACAACAGTAGAGATCCGACTACCAAGAGAGATGCCTTAGAGTGATAGATAAAATACGTTAGGATTAGTAAAACATCCTAAAAGATAGTAAATTTGAATTAATAAAATATCCTAAAAGATAGTAAATTTGGATTAATAAAATATTCTAAAAGATAATAAGATAAGATTGTTAAATATCATACAAAGATAGTAAATTAGGATTAATAAAGTATCCTAAAAAGATAGTAAGTTAGGGTTGATAAAATATTTTATGAAATGTTTTTTTAAAAGAAAAAAGATTATTATTTTAATGCAACTAAATAAAGCATAAAATTATAAAAACTCGTGCAATCACTAACAGTATGTTGACTTTTTCAAAAATACATGTATTATTAGGGAAATGAGTGAGGAGGATAGTCGTGCCAATGAGGAAATCTTCTAAGAAAACTTGTTGGAGTTTAGTTTCGTCTGTTTGTCATTTCTAGTTATGTTGAGGATGTGTGCTTGACCTTTTAAACAATATAATCTCAAGTATATTATCTTAAATAAAAGTATCGTTTGTGATATACAACATTCTTTCTCTCTTTCTCTCTCTCTCTCTCTCTCTCTCTCTCTCTCTATATATATATATATATATATATATATATATATATATATTAAAGCTCATTAATTTATTTTGTTTATTTATTTAAATTTAAAAGATTAAAAAATCAATTTTAATAATTCATTATTTTTTTATTTTCTTATAAATCAAAAGTTCTTAAATATTTTGATTTTTATATTTACTTTTTTTTAATTAACCCATACAGTACATAGGTCTTACATCTTATATATATAACACGTATGATAGTACCATATCTCTACCCACCCCGCCCCCGCTTCAGGTATCAAATTTAAGGTCCATCCCCTCCCCATTACATGTTTAGTTAGTAGGGAATACCCATCCTATAGGGCTAGGTTATTTTGTTTTTACTAAGTATTGTGTGCCAGAATGCACAGATCTGGACCAACGGATGAAATTGATCAATGGACATAATTTGAGAGTGTATGATATTACAATGGGGTAATATGTACCGTATAATCACACAATTTTTAGCAAAAGGGTATTTTGGACAATTAACTACATTTATAAAAGGAAATTTTCGAAATTTTAGGGATGATTAATTCTCCTAATTTAAAAAAAATCTGAATTTTTTAATTAATTCAATTTCAATTTTTAACGATTTTATTCTATCAAAATATTTTTTGTTAGAATGATACTCTTTCAAAATTTTATTCTATTCTAATATAATATTATTGAAGAAAAACAAAATTCTTGAATAAGATGTTGAAAAATAACAAACGTTCTAATATATTCTTATACATCCGAACTTAAATACAAATTCATACATATTCTTACAGGCTAAAAATCTTATACATTTTAAATATAGTTATAAATATTCTAAAAGAATATCAACAAAAATGAATAACATTCTTAAAAAATAACAACATTCTGCTAGAATACTCTCGTTCTCCATGTTTTCTTCTTGAATTCTGAAAGAATATTGTTGTTTTTGGACGTTGAATCCTGAAATTCTGAAAGAATTTGATGTATTCAATAGTCACCATGTAGAACACTGCCCTGGTCAACGACATTCTGCTAGAATACTCTCGTTCTCCATGTTTTCTTCTTGAATTCTGAAAGAATATTGTTGTTTTTGGATGTTGAATCCTGAAATTCTGAAATTCTGCTAGAATACAAAGAATATTCTGAAATTCTGCTAGATATTATCTGATCAAATCTTAGATAATAGAATATTGTAATCAATAAAGAAAATAAGATACCTGATTGAGTTTTAAATTAACTTTTCTTCTGTTTCAACATGTGTTTCCTTTTGATTGACAGTCAATGAATCACCAAAGAAGCAACATCCAGTTCCGGTGATGGGTATGGTGGCCAAATGAACCAAGAACACCGCAAACCCAATTGGAAGAGGAGCCAAAATCTACAATAAACACGTTCAAATTTAATTCAAAATAAAAATCTCACCTTTTCTAAAGTGAATATCTGTATATAATTCAATAGTCAATGGAGTGAGTTGCATACACGGACATGGAAGTCTCTGGCGCTTCTTTTAGCATCAGCTGCAGAGAACACGGTGTAAACAAGCACGAAAGTGCCAACAATCTCAGCACCAAGACCATCACCCTTGGTGTAACCATGGGCGACGACATTAGCACCACCGCCTAATGTCGTGTACCGCGCATCACCCTGAAACCCTTTCACAAATCCGGCACCACAGATCGCTCCAAGACACTGCATCACCATGTATAACACTGCCCTGGTCAACGACAGTTTTCTTGCTAATAACAAATCGAATGTCACAGCTGGATTAATATGCCCTCATGTTTGAAGATGAAACATAGTTTTTAGACGATTTGAAGAAGAAAGAAGATAAAATTAGGGTTCCGGTGGAAAGGGGAAACATACCTGAAGAAGAGCGCGTGTGATCTCGTTTGAACAATCATTAAGGACCTTCTCATTGATGATCGTGGCATTGCTCATCTGCTGGAGAGCACGTGAAATGCTCCCCTAATTCCGCCAACACCATCTTCGATTATTTGCGTGACACTATGAACAACGATTTGTTCATAGGGAAATTGGAACCAAAATCAAACACTGGTTTCTTAATTGACCAAAACTAGGATAGTGGTTACGGTTTCAGATTTAGGGTTTGGATGCTGGAAGGGGAAAAACAACGGTGTTGCCGGTGGTGTGATCTGTTGGTACGTATTTGTATACGGTGGAGGTGGCTATCTCGTGGTTGTACATTTCGAATATGGTGGGTGAAGAAGATAATCGTATACTCTGATATAGAATTAGGGTTATTAAGATGAAGGAACCATGATTTAAGGGATCAGATACGTGATATTCTATTATTTCCTTAATTATGGGATTCCAATTAAATTATTTCCTTTAATTAAAAGCATAAAAAGTCCAAAATACCCTTTAATGGTTTATTTAATAATTTATTATTTCTTGAATTTTTATTGGTGCATTTAGGCACACAATAGTTGTTAACATTTGAACCTATATATATATATATATATATATATATATATATATATATATATATATATATATAACGGGGAGGATAATATTGTATCCCCCCCTTCAAATCCCAAATTTAAGCATCATCCCCCGCCCCATTACATGTTTATTCGTGAATCCCCACCCCGTTAGGGTTGGATACCAGAATCCGCGGGTCAAATTTGCATACCTAGTCTCAATTGCATGAAGTGGACATGTGTATTATGTGTCGATTCCTCCCATTCAACCAATTTAAATGTTAAATACATATCAAAATCACAAGTTGACATTACAATGAAAGTTACCTCTACCCATATCATGTCCATGCTTTATAGGACAATTATCAAGTCTTTGAAATCTATATAAAGGCTTATGTTTAGGTAGATCCAGTTTAATTAAGCATGTTTCAATTTTTTTAATGATAATGATATACTCTTATTTGGAGATCTTAGGAATAAACGTATCCACAACAATAAGATGACTTATGGGTCATTAGGTTCAGCGCTTAAGCGGTTTAGATGATGTCGTTTATCAACTTTTACTGATTGACAACAAATGCCATCATGATGACAATAATTTGAGTTTGTATACAAGATTTTGACGTTCTACTAAATATTTTTGTTACGAATGATATAATACAAAATTTCATAGACCAAAAAAATATATGTTTAAAAACGAGTTTTAGAACTATCATTAAAGCTATTATTATGACAAGGTGTTTTTTTAACTTTAAACATTTAATTAAGAATTTAGTACTTTTACGGAGAAAATAGTATACTATAGAGGCAAGAATTATGTAAGAGGTCTCAAGGAGTGATTCTTACTCAATCATTAATGATAGCCGATTAAGAAAAGATTTTAGTTATAATTTTATAATTTATACCGGGCCCCATCATTTCAAAATATCAAAACAAAATATATTTATGATTATTCATGGTTTAAGATTATTATTAGAATATTAGTCCAATAGTGTTTTTTGACATTTTTTTAGGAAAAAATCAAACAAATAATAAAAACGTGTTTTTTATTTTTCAAGAAGAAATATTATATATATATATATATATATATATATATATATATATATATATATATATATATATATATATATAAAAGATCGGGTGATGTTTCTTTTTAAAGTGACGATTCGTGACTACACCTTAAAAAAATCTAAAAAAAAAATACAAATCATAAAATCGAGCACAATATTATATTGGAGAGAAAAAAATGTGGATTTTTTTTTATCCTTAAAATTGAAACATGGATCATTTTTATGATCCATGATTCACTTTTAATGACGCAAAAAAAATTTTCAATTTTTTTTCCTCTCGGATATAGTACTATGCTCGATTTTATTTATTTAGTTTTTTAAGGTGTCCTCACTTTAAAAAGAGTCCTCACCGAACCCTATATATATATATATATATATATATATATATATATATATATATATATATATATATATATATATATATATAAGTTGGATCGAACAAAGACTCAAAAATAAGTAAGGACTGCGAGGACAAAGCTTTGCTGCAGGATTGAAAAAATAAAAGGTGAACATTTGAATTTATTTATCGTCAATATATCGCGACTATATGGTTTTACTTTTGAGTTCTTTAAAAGATTTTAGGAGGTGATCAAAGAAGATGCTTTCAATTGGTGTGGAGTTTTCAGTCATGCAAGGGCATTCCTAAAGGAATGTAATCAATCTTTTATTTCCCTTATACCTAAAGTAAATGATCCCTCATTTACGTCTGATCTTAGACCTTTAGGTCTCATAGGGAAACTTCTTGCTAATCGTCTTGTTGTGGTCATTGATTCAGTAGTGAGTTTTGGGCAATCTGCTTTTATCAAAAGCCGTCAAATTCTTAACGGTCCAATGATGTTAAGTGAGATTATTGCTTAATATTAAGGATGTGGTAAAAATTTGATGGTGTTTAAGGTGGATTTTGAGAAAGCATGTGATTATCTTTCATGGGATTTCCTCTTTGAAGTTCTGCAGAAGATAGGATTTAGTGATTTGTGGAGTAATTGGATTAGATCCCCTCTTAATTATTCTAGGATTTCAGTGTTAGTCAATGGGGCTCCTACTGAAGAGTTTAATTATATTTTCATAGGTCTTTGTCAAGGAGATCCGTTTGATATTTTCATAGGTCTTTGTTAAGGAGATCCTTTATCTCCTTTTCTTTTTGTCTTGGCCATGGAGGTTTTCCATGTCTCTTAGAGGCTAGTCGGGCAGGGGCTTTTACAGGCGTGCTTCTTGGATCCTCGAGACTTGAGGTGTCTTATTTTTATATGCAAATGATGTTGTTTTACTTTGTGATTGGGAGGTGGAAAATGCTAGGAAGATTATTCGCATCCTAAGAGTTTTTCAAATGACGTTTGGCTTAAAGATTAATTTATTTAAAAGTAAATAAATTGGAGTGGGGGTTCACTTTGATCGAGTCCAAGAGGTTGCTTCAATGCTGGGTTGTCGCGTTATTAACCTTCCTTTTTTGTATCTTGGAGTTCTGGTAGGTGCTAAAATGAACAAATTTGCTAAATGGCAGTCTATAGTGGATAATTTTTTGAGCAGATTGTCTTCTTGGAAGGAAAATTATTATCCATTGGCGGTCATTTTACTCCTATGAATGTGGTTTTGGTAGTATTCCAATCTACTTATTAAGCTCTTGGAATCGTTAAGAGCTATTTTTTTTTTTTTTTTTTTGGGGGGGGGGGGGGGTAGACATTGGAAAGAGAAAGCTACATTGGATTTCTTAGAGTAAAGTGATGAGTTCTAAGGAAATAGGAGGTCTTGACATTGGAAGCATTTTTGCTTTTAATAGGGCTCTTTTATTCAGGCGGCATTGGCGTTTTTTGCAAAATCTAAATGCTTTATGGGCTAAGGTGATCCAGGCTTTACACTATTCTTCAAGAGGTCATGTGATTATTCGAAGTGTAGGTTTAAGTTCGTGTTGAATGTTATTAGGGGGATTGTACATCAGATGCAGAAAGGTGTTTTTTGGAGGATATATGTACTAAAAAGGTGGGGAATTGTGAGAACCCCTCTCTAAAACTACATCATATTACTTCAAGATATGCTACATGCATATTAATAAACAATATTTTACATTGATAGTTTAATTACAAAAGACTGGATACAAACCGACTAAGTTTTAGTATATTACATAACTACCCAGGAAATTATAATTTTATACATACACAATTACTAAATACAAAAGTAATATTATTAACTATTCTATATCTTCCAACAGTATGCGTCTATACCGGATCCTTATTACCTGCAATAGTTAAACACTGAGAGGGATAAGCGGTGACGCTTAGTGAGCTTAAAAATAGATACAATATAACGTTATGTCATATATATATATATATATATATATATATATATATATATATATATATATATATATATATATATATACCAATATGATAGAAACAAAGAGGAAAAATTAACAACAAAGACATATGTGAATTATGTGACAAGCTTTCCATATCAACAAATGATCTGATTCAAAGATTTACAATCAATGAGATACAACAATTTCAACTTGATATACAAAAATAAAACTTCTGCCTATGTGGCATAAAAAATAAATGATTTCTGAATAAATATTTTGCTAGAATTTCCAGACCTTCAGCCCAATCCAGCATTTTGTCAATGCCAAAGTGATGCTTACTCATTCACTTCATGGCCAAAGGCTACATACCAATACCCAAGTGATGCTTAGTCATTCACTTCGTGGTCAAAGGTATAGATCATTATCATAATAATACGGGAAAGCATAGTACACATATTACACATAACATATAATTGTTCCTATAATTTAAACTCACCGTGAAATAACTAGAGGTTAAAATAGTAATTTGGGTAGCACTTCGTTTCTATAATTAACTTTTTTTGATAAAACTGAGAGCTTTATTGAAAACCGGGCCTTGTGAGGGTTGAGCTTCAAACCCAAAAGATAATTTTTTCGGGGTCTTCGGGTACTTCGAGATGTTTTTAGGTGTTAGGTATGGTCCCGGGGCTTCGGGGGTTTAAAAGTAGCTTAAAATAAAGTTTAGGGTGTAAAAGTGTGCAAAATTCTAACCAGTAGGGTTCACACCTTCCTTTTATACCCTGTGAGGGTTTTGATCTGAGGGAAGAAGAAGCCACACCGCAGCTTCACAGGCAAGGGGGAGGGCCAGGCGTCGGACAGGAGGCAAGACACGCGTCTCGGTTCGGATGCCTCCACTGCGATGACACGCATCAAATCCGACTAGGCTACGCTTCAGATGCAAGGAGCTGGCAACACGCGTCGGACACGAAGCAGATGCGAGAGGCGGGTGACGTGGCCAATTCTAGGCCGTGTGTATATGAAATTTCTCGGATTTTGTGCCCAAACTTCAAAAACTCATAACTTTCGCATATGAACTCCGTTTTCGATGTACTTTATATGCTAACGTAGGCGAGGTTATACTCTACAACTTTCGTG